ACGCGCGGCCCACGACGCCCAAAAAGCAGCAAGCTCGTGCAGTTGGGCACTCCGCAATCCCAAGCCACCGTGTCTCAAAGCTATCTGGGCTAAGCAAGCAGCTTGCTGGGAGCAGGTGGCCACCGTGATCAAGCATCAAGTAAAGAATGCAGGCGGCTTGGTCACTGGCACTGGCAAAGCGCGCTGTCAAATTGGAGGGAAGCGTGCGTAAGGCGTAATTAGACCGTGGCGACACGCAGTACAACAACAGAAGGCTGACAACTTGCAAGTCAGGTAGGGTCGGAAGGACTTGCAAGTCTGTTCCAAAAAGGGCCCCAAAACCGTGATTCCCCTCTCCTTTGCAGGCGGGGCATGTACAAGTCGTCAACGAAGGCAAAAACCCGTTCCCCCGGCTGCAGCTCGCGCATCCTAGCGAAAAAAGTGCTGGCATTAAGGGTTCCCCCTGTTCCCCTCCTTCTGCTTGGGCGACTCTGTGCGCGCAATTGTTGCCATCAATCCACACATACGTGGACGGCGTGCTATACCACAGGCGAACATAGGGCGACACACGGCAAGCATCGCGCGTGTCCCGATAGGCCTGAAGCGTTGCGAGCCGACTCACATGGTAGTACGCGCCGACCCCATCGACCGACAACACGGTCATGGCGGGCGTGGTTTGCGTGAGGTACTGGGGCGCCCCGGCCTTCCGGCACACTCGCCCCGCACGCTCCAACGGCCCTCCACGCGGGCGTAGCATACCTGCACGCGGGCACGCCGACGGATGATCCCCAAGAGGGTCCTGCAAACTGCCACAGGAACAGCGGGCAGACATTAGCGGCAATGGCAAGTGGAGCCGCCAGAGTAGCAGCACACGGAAAGGCGACGGGCCGCGGTGAGGCCAGGCTGGAGCATGGTTGGCACCAAGGGGACGCAGCCACGAAGCCTGCAAATCCTCAAGCCCACGGATGCGCTTCCGCCCGGTCGGGCCCGGCTGCTGGCTCAGCTGACGCTGGAGGCGGGTGCTCTCCAGAAGCTGTGCGTTGATGGACCGGCACTTCACTGGCTGCAGCGGCGGCTTCTGCAAATGGAGCGCGGTCATGACGCCTGTCCTGGCCATCCCCCACATCACGAGGCGGCCGCGTTGCTGTGGTAGCATGTGGCTGGGCTCGCGGCAGGTCAGCCGGCATTGGGTGAGCTGCTGGTGGCAAAGTGGCGTTGAAGCTGGTGACTGCTTGGCTGGGTGGGGCTGGTTGGCCTGATGCTCCCCAAGAAACAGCACAAGCAACATTTCCTGAGCAGATGCTGGAATGTAGCCATCCAAGGTCAGGCACTGCTCGACAGCCCATGCAAGGAACACCGAAACACTGGCTGGCAAGGAGTCGGGCCCTCGGGCCATGTTCCGGACGCTGAGGTGGGCAGTCTCGAGGGCGACAACTCTGCCAGGTGCGCTCGGACAAAGGCAAAGGGAGGCGCAGCCCGTCCGACCAGCGGAGCAAGGCCCAAATGAAACACGGCAACGCGCCGATGTAGGGGTGGAGGACCCGAAGCTCCAACAAGGCAGCGAAGCGTTCAGAGAAGGACAAAGCCTCGATGTTTGTCGGGACAGCAAGTGTGAGGAAGGCGGAGCATGCAGGAATGCGCCTGCAGTCCGGCGACGCGGCCCATCCGGCAGAATAGCGTTGGCCGGAGCGAGTAGCATAGTGCCGCGATGAGCGGCACAGCGGCACCATCTCCACGCACGAAGTTACGTTTGCGGCGTAAACGGCGCGAAGCGCCCAATGGCGCGCGCGAGCATGAGCAGATCCGCGGATGGCGAAGCTTGCCTGTTCACGAAATGAGCGCGCCACGCAGCAAACGCAGTGTAGCGAGGCGCCTGGCACGGGTCCTGCGAGGAACGAACAAGAGGAGCAGGGCAGAACAACTGGAACAATTGAAGCACACTGCAGCGGTGAGAAAAGGGAATGCGGGCAACAAAGGAATGCAAGGCGATGCAGGCAGCACAGCGGGCGCACTAAGCAGGCCAGGCGGACCAAAGGCAACGAAGAAAATTGCAACTGCTGCGTGGAGCCAAAAACTGCCCAGTGCATGGCCCGGCCTCCAACAGGTCTCGTGATAGAGTTACTTTGGACCTTGACCGTTTTTAGGGAATATTTGGCACTGGGCCCGATCCCAAACGGGGCAACGGAGCGGAGCACGCGACGGGGCAACGGAGCGATGAAACGCAGCAAACCTGGCAACATCAGCTGCTTCGCGCAACAAAGGGGCAACGGAGCGGAGCAACGGAGCAAACAACGAGGCAACTGAGCTCAACAACGGAAAGCCAGAGCAAACCCGCTTCGGAACGATGGGGCAACCAGCGGAGCAACGGAGCAGCAAAGCGGCAACGGCCCTGCAAGCGGGACCCATCACTATGCCACCCAAGATCAGGGACCGACGAGGGATTAGCAGGCGCCCGCGCCGGCGCAACAGTTGCCACTGCAGCAACAACCCTGAAAAAGCAAATGGTAAGCAAGGGGGTCGGCATGTGAAAGACGAGCTGCCAATCAGCCTGGAAGTTGGGAACGCCACGGATGGCGGTGCTGTTGGGCACGCCGCTGAAACTCCTCCGGGTCGCCCACCGACGCCCACAACAAGTCGCTTGGGTGTCCCTGTCTGCTCGGCCCTGCGCTTCGTGTCGGTCGGCACTGAGAACAAGAGCGATGGGGCGCTCGCCAAAACGCGAGCGCGTGGCTGCAACCCTGTTTATTCTGCCACCTTCTCCGCGCGCACTCCTTCTGCACCGCCTCTGCCCCCTCATGCCCCTCTCTTAGCGCGCGCCTTCCAGCCCCCGTTGCCCTGCATGTCTCTTTTTCTTTCCGCAGGCGGCAACATTTCGCTCTGCCCGCGTCACCTCTTGCGCACGGAGAGGAAACGCAAATGCTTGAAGTTGCGTTTTGTTGCGGCGCGTGTGCGTGCTGCCCGGTCCTGTGGGGAAACCATACGTGGCCTTGGTTCAATACAACGCGTCCTGCAAAGTCGCAGGTCGTGGCACATGTCGCTGGGACATGGCCGCACGCACGCACCCACCCACACACACACACACACACACACACACACACACACACACACACACACACACGCACCCACACACACGGGGACGGACGGACGTGCGGACAGACAGACAGACGGACGGACGGACAGACGCACCAAAAGAGCACCAAAAGAGCACCAATCACACCGCTGCATATCTACCGAAAAGCGACCGCTGTGGAGTGCAACACCTTGCGGGACGTGTTGCGCTCCCTTGCGCTCATGTGCGCTTGTCAAGGCTGGGCCGGTCATGCAACCATGGCAGCGCGCACCCAAAATGGTGTGTGATGTTGTGCTACGTGTGCAAACAAACAAACAAACACACAAAACAAACAAACAAACACAATCGCATACAGAGACACATACAGAGGCACATACAGCGACACACACAGACCCATTCACAGACACGGACAAAGGCGCACAAGCGGTAGCGGCGATGCCGTCGGAAGTGGCTCGTCCAATTTGTCGCCCGAGCACACTCGAGGGCTCGGGCGTGGCACGCGTGGTTGCCCCGCGCTCTGGCTCGACGGGCGGCAGGCTGGCACGGCGCCGCTCTGCAGGAGGGTTCAGCGTTGCAGGTACAGGTGAAGTGGAAACGAAGTCCAAAGAGCTGCTCGCGCAAAATGGAAAGGTCGACATTTGGGTGTGGGTCAAAAGTAGGTACCCAACATGGAACCCTGGTAAATGGAAACAATGACTAGAACCTGCGGTCCCCTGGTCGTTCAATTTTTTGACCCATACCCATTTTGCAGCAACACAATGTAGTTGCAATCTGAAGAATGATATTGAAAAGAAGGTTGGGCCTCGGGCATGCGGTCGCTTTGGCTCACTCAGCCTTTTCCGGCGTGTTTCAAATCTAGTTTGCATAGTGTGGCAGCTCAAATTCCATGCTCAGCGCAAGCGCAATATGCCAAATGCACTTTGACAGCTCCAAGACCGCAGTGGTTCAGTGCAAGTGCAATCTTGTTCCAGGCTCAAAAAACACAAGTGTTCAGTACTAGTCCACGTCTGTGGCAGCTCAAGCTCGAAAATGCCAGATTCATGCTTGACCAGCAGACTTTTGGCGAACATGTCAATGATGGAGCACAACTTTTCAGTACATGTGCAGTATGTCAAAGAGGCTCCGCCAGCGCAGGCTCCAACATTGCAACTGCTCAGTACTGTTCAAGTGGAGCGTGCAAAATACACCTACAACTCTCGAAAATTGCAAGCACACGAGTAGCGCAATCCAAATCGCAAGACACTATGCTACTGCCTTTGTGTTATCGTGTTGCTACCTTTGTGGTATCGTTTTGCTATCGCGTGGTTCTCGTTTTGTCGCGCCGTCCGTCACCCAGCATTGTGTCAGTCGGCCTTCAAAGTTGTTGCCAGGTTGAGCCGGTGTTCACGTTTGTGACCGCATGGTTGTGTCTTGGAAACCACCCTTTTCTCACACAGGAAGCTGCTCAGGGCGCGATGTTGTTGGTTCCTCCTTGTCATTTTTACATGACCGGTCCATTTGTGGGACCCAAACGCGCCGCAAGACGTTTCGGGCAAGGCCGAAAGCCAGTGTAACAGGCCAACGACCTAATGTTGACCCTGTATTAATCAACCCCAGTGTATTAATAGGGGGTGTTCCTGGGTTCATTGGGGGATCATCCCTTCTTGAGGGACCCAAACCGCCCCTGCTATGAATAAATGTGTTGGTTGATGAAAATATGGGGTCAACACCAGGCAGCTCCCGCCCTTCCTTGCGCCCTTGCGCCCTTGATCCTTGCTTGTCGCCTTTCCTGGTGCCTGCTTGCTTTATTCCAGGGTTCCGTGCTATGTCCTTGGCTGGACCGCTCCCTTGTTCACCTCCACGCTTCTCGTGCAAATCGCGACTGATGTACGCGCTGCTGGTCTGGGTGGGGCAAAATATGGTGGGAAGAATCATCATAATCAGTGGTTTGAACATGTTTAAACCAACGGGTGGCCCCACCCTACTGCTGGTGTCTTGCCATGGTGCTCATGTTTCTCATCAAGCAATGGTCTGATCAGCTTGGTGTGGAACAGTTGGCCGCAAACTTTGGCGTCCACTGCCAAACACTGAAACGCAAAGCCACACTCTTGAGTGTTGTTGAACTCATTTGTACAACGAAGAGCGTTGGGTCATCAAACTCTCCAAAGGCCCCAACAGCCGCTTAAAGGTGTCACGGTCCATGGACAGAATGGAGGCTGACGCACTGGTCACTTGGATTGTTGCTGCGCGAGGCTGGTCCTTCAACATGGCAAGCTCTCCGAAATAGTCACCAGCTGAGAACTGCATGACTTTCTTGGGCGGCCCATTTGTTGAATGCTTGAGGGCCACTAGAGTACCCTCCTCAACAATGTAAAACTTGTCACCTTCTTCACCTTGTCTGACCACAACGTCATCTTTCAGGGCCTTCTCAGCTCTCAAAGAATCGGCTACCTGAGCACGCTGATGCTCGTTCAGAGATGAAAATAGGCTGACCTTGCGCAGGAAAGCATCGTACTTCGAGCTCTTCTTCAAAGCTGCATCCCTTGCCACGTGGTTGAAGGTCGTGCGGTCGAGCCGCCATGCTGTACTGACATCTACAGAATCGACGCTCGCTGCACGTGGACAGTTGTACAGCAGTGCTAACTCTCCAAACACGTCCCCTGGCATGCATCTCTTCACAACGCGTTCAGTCCCGTTACTCTGGACTTTGCAATCCAAAGAACCTTCCTCAATCACGTAAAGGCAGTCTCCATCATCGCCCTGCTGAATGATACGCTCACCAGGTTTAAATGTACATTTCTGCATGGCCAATACTATGATGTCCAAGTCCTTCGAATCCAATGCTGCAAACAGAATAGACCTCGAAAGAATGCCCCTCAATCGCATCTCTTGGTCGGCCGTTTTGGGATGCTGCGGGGGAACAAACGCTTGCTGCTGATTCCAAGCACCGTACACTTCTGCGCTCACAGATTTCCTCGCTTTTGATAGCAGCCGTGGACTCACGGGAACAGGCTCTTCAGCATCAGAATCGCTCTCGTCTTCATCGTCACTGAAGGAAACCTTCGCAGCTAGCTTTGCAGCAGCTTCAGCTTTGTCTTCAGTGTACTGCTTCGCACGTCTTGCCATCAAAGTCTCCAAAGGCCCCAACAGCCGCTTAAAGGTGTCACGGTCCATGGACAGAATGGAGGCTGACGCACTGGTCACTTGGATTGTTGCTGCGCGAGGCTGGTCCTTCAACATGGCAAGCTCTCCGAAATAGTCACCAGCTGAGAACTGCATGACTTTCTTGGGCGGCCCATTTGTTGAATTCTTGAGGGCCACTAGAGTACCCTCCTCAACAATGTAAAACTTGTCACCTTCTTCACCTTGTCTGACCACAACGTCATCTTTCAGGGCCTTCTCAGCTCTCAAAGAATCGGCTACCTGAGCACGCTGATGCTCGTTCAGAGATGAAAATAGGCTGACCTTGCGCAGGAAAGCATCGTACTTCGAGCTCTTCTTCAAAGCTGCATCCCTTGCCACGTGGTTGAAGGTCGTGCGGTCGAGCCGCCATGCTGTGCTGACATCTACAGAATCGACGCTCGCTGCACGTGGACAGTTGTACAGCAGTGCTAACTCTCCAAACACGTCCCCTGGCATGCATCTCTTCACAACGCGTTCAGTCCCATTACTCTGGACTTTGCAATCCAAAGAACCTTCCTCAATCACGTAAAGGCAGTCTCCATCATCGCCCTGCTGAATGATACGCTCACCAGGTTTAAATGTACATTTCTGCATGGCCAATACTATGATGTCCAAGTCCTTCGAATCCAATGCTGCAAACAGAATAGACCTCGAAAGAATGCCCCTCAATCGCATCTCTTGGTCGGCCGTTTTGGGATGCTGCGGGGGAACAAACGCTTGCTGCTGATTCCAAGCACCGTACACTTCTGCGCTCACAGATTTCCTCGCTTTTGATAGCAGCCGTGGACTCACGGGAACAGGCTCTTCAGCATCAGAATCGCTCTCGTCTTCATCGTCACTGAAGGAAACCTTCGCAGCTAGCTTTGCAGCAGCTTCAGCTTTGTCTTCAGTGTACTGCTTCGCACGTCTTGCCATCAAAGTCTCCAAAGGCCCCAACAGCCGCTTAAAGGTGTCACGGTCCATGGACAGAATGGAGGCTGACGCACTGGTCACTTGGATTGTTGCTGCGCGAGGCTGGTCCTTCAACATGGCAAGCTCTCCGAAATAGTCACCAGCTGAGAACTGCATGACTTTCTTGGGCGGCCCATTTGTTGAATTCTTGAGGGCCACTAGAGTACCCTCCTCAACAATGTAAAACTTGTCACCTTCTTCACCTTGTCTGACCACAACGTCATCTTTCAGGGCCTTCTCAGCTCTCAAAGAATCGGCTACCTGAGCACGCTGATGCTCGTTCAGAGATGAAAATAGGCTGACCTTGCGCAGGAAAGCATCGTACTTCGAGCTCTTCT